TTAATGTCTTCATGAATTTTCATTTTGTTTCATTCTGTTATCAATTAAATTACATGGTCCCCCAAAAAGTCATAATTTTTATAGTTAGTAATTATCCCTGAAGATGTAAGGTTGTTGAAACCCAACAGTTGGATTTTCCATCACCGTTCAGGCAACAGTTGGATTTTCCATTGCCGTTCAGGTTTCTATTGCAATTTTTGCCCTAAGTTTTATTATCATAATCTCCTGTGTGACCAAGTATTGAAATCATGTACTGATTTTGTGGTTTGTTTTAATTTGAATGCAATTTTTAATGATTTATTATCGTTGTTTTTAATATTTTCATGTTTATGATTTTCATCGGGTCAGCTCATTGTCATTCTATTAAGAGTTTGTTACTTTTTACTTTGAGGGTAAAATTGATGGTTTTACTAACATATGCTTCAAAGGCAATCAATCAACAGTTACACTCTAAATGCATTTTCAAGTAAATAACCCAACTATAGTAAGCTAAAGTTAGTTCTATATATTTTTGTGTTAGGGAGGACAGAGGCGGCATTGTTGGTCAAATTGTTGCTCCTGCTTTCGGAAGGCTAAAAATCTTATCGAAAATGTAATGGACTTTCACTTGTTGATTTTTTTTTTATTAATGTATGTGTTCAAAGCAGAAATTGAAACATGTTTAAACCTCAAATTATATGTTATAGTTGTTTATATGTTTGTCCATGATTGGTGGCAGATTAATATTCACCGTAAAAATCAACGCCCTCATACTTGTGAAACAAATTACAACAATCAATGTAAGTGTTTTTGCAATATCATGGTTGCTTGACATATTACATGGTTATTATGCAAAATCTTATCGAAAATGTAATAGACTTTCATGTAAGAACCTTGATTAATCTAATTTGCTAACGGGAAAACTGTACAATGTTCCTATAATTAGATGAATATATGATTTTTCCGCATAAATGTTAAAAATTAGAATATGGTCTCAACTACAATGTAGGGAATTTATCTATTAATTGAAATTGATGAACTACCTATTGATAATGAACCAGATTAGATCATCAACTACTCAAATGTACCAGAGTTACATTGGAGAGTGATTCCAACCAAAACAACACCAACATGTGTCATGTAAGTCATTACTTACAAGATATCTCAATTTTTTTTCTTGCACATATTATAATCATCATCAGAACTGACAATAAAGTGACAATTACAAGTCTCATATAAGAATAACACATCCATCAGTATAGTTATATGATATACCAACTAATATTATGAAACGATTATCCTCAAATTTCAATACCATGATTGGTAATTATCAACCATCAACAGATCACACAAAAATAACTATTGGTGGTTGTTCCAAGCTAGATAAGAAACTATATAGGAGGATAGCTATCATAAATTGGAAATTTTTGTTTGATAAATGTCATGAGATAATAGAGAAGTTGGATATGCTTAATGCTCATGCTTATAAGAAACAATTAAGAAAGGAAGCTATTATAAAATGGAAAAAGAAGAAATTAAAAATGACCTGCAATACAAATGTTACAATAAAAAAATCAAACGAACAATTAATTGATATTGTACACACAAGTATATGCAATTTAAATGAAAACATCACTGAAGAAAGCAAAAGACTTGACAAAAGAATACTTAGAGATTTGGGTCCATCAAATGAGAAATCTACAAATCTAGGCAAAAAAAAGCAACAAAAAAGGAAAGCATCTCTTACAACAAGTAATTTTTTCTGCCGATGTTCTTCCAGAAGTAAGGTGTTGTTGCTATTGTCATGCTGTGAAATTTTTTTCCGAAACATCAAATTTTTTTTTTTCCGAAACATCAAATTTTTGTTGTTCAGAAGGTCGTATTGTATTATCCAGTAATGAACTCCCACCCATCATGAGAGAATTATTGACATGTAACTCTGATGATGCAAAATCATTTAGAACATATATAAGAACATATAATAATCATTTCGCATTCACTTCATTGGGTGTCAAAGCTGATAAAAAACTTACAAAACGAAATAAGGGTATTTACACTTTTAGAGTGCAAGGTCAAGTATATCATTTCATGAACGATCTACAACCTAAAGAGAATAGTGCAAAAAACCTTCAATTATATTTTCACGATACAAACAATGAAATAGAAAATCGACAAACATCTTCTCCACGATTATCCAAAGGCATAATTGCAATGTGTATTACTTATCTACAAAATAATCCATATGCACGTTTTTTTAGAAATTTAAGAGACATTCCATCTTTGAATGAATATAAGATTATTCTTAAGACTATTCCGGGACAAGATCAACGGGTATATAACAAACCGGAAGTTTCACAAGTTGCGGCACTATGGGTTGAAGGGGAAGAGAACGGAGAACATGGTCGTAGAAATATACAAGTTAGAACACATAGTGACCATCAAAGGACTGTTGAGTACTATTATGGTTGTTATGATCCTTTACAGTACCCTTTAATGTTTCCATTAGGAGAACTCGGCTGGCATCAACACATTCCCAAAAAAAAGTACCAATAAACAAGCTAATAGTGAAATAGGAACAAGTTCTGCAGAAAGGCTTATTTCGCCATTTGATGCTACAGATGCTGATGAATTATTAAATATGGAACAAACAGGTAAACATGTTCCATCACTTTTTTTTCTAGGATGTAGTATTAAGAAATTAATATTTTTTTGGCAGTTATGAACAAAACTATAGAGAACTAAAATTCTATCTCTATTAGAGAATATTATGCTTACAAACTTCAAATACATTTTAATGATAAATCTTGTATATTACTTTTCGGTCGATTATTACAACAATATATAGTTGATAGTTATGTAAAATTAGAGACACAAAGATTAGCGTTTTATAGAAATCAACAACAAGAGTTACGACAAGAGTTACTTCAAGGAGTGGTAGATGCTATGGCAAGTGGTGAGACAAATGCATCAGCAATTGGTCAACGAGTGGTTTTACCAGCAAATTTTATTGGTGGTCCAAGGAACATGAGACAAAAATACATTGATGCTATGGAATTAGTCCAAAGTTTTGGTAAGCCAGACATTTTTTTTAACCTTAACATGTAATCCTAATTGGCCAGAAATCAAACAACACATGATGCAGCATGAGGAAGCACAAAATAGGGTGGATTTAATTGTTAGAGTATTCCATGCAAAACTTGACCAATTTAAAAAAGAGATTTTCAAAAATGAAATATTTGGAAAGGTTGTTGCACACACTTATGTTGTGGAGTTTCAAAAAAGAGGTCTTCCACATGCTCATTTTTTGCTAATACTTGGAACTCCTTATAAGATGTACCATGCTGAAGAATATGATGAAATAGTTTCAGCAGAAATACCAAATGAAAGATCAAATCCTCATCTATTTCGCATGGTAGTGAAACATATGCTTCATGGTCCCTGTGGTGATCTTAATCCCAAAAATGTTTGTATGAAAAAAAAAGGATATTGTAAAAAAATTTATCCAAAAGCATTTTGTGATGTAACAACACAAAATAATGATGCATATCCAGCATATCGAAGACGTGACAATGGAGTTAAAGTTATTGTTCGAGGCGCTAAGCTAGATAACAGATGGGTTGTTCCCTACAATCCGTATTTACTTTGTAAGTTTGATTGTCATGTAAATATAGAAATATGCTCTACAATTAAAGCTGTCAAATACATTTATAAATACATATGCAAGGGATGTGACAAAATAAGTTTTTCAGTAGCACAAGATGATCACTCATCTAGCATAAATGAAATAGATCAATTTCAAGCAGGTAGGTGGATATCACCCCCAGAGGCAGCTTGGAGAATTTTTAGATTTTCATTGGGTGAAATCAAACCAGCAGTTATTCATTTGCCTCTACATTTAGAAAATTACCAACCAATAACATTCAAAAAGAGAGAACGATTAACTAATATTGTAGATAATATATGTAAAAGAAAAACAATGCTAATCGAATTTTTTCATAAAAATAGTACGGATAGATATGCACAAAGTCTTAATTTAACATATGTTGAGTTTCCCAACCATTTTGTATGGAAACCGGATAACAACGTCTGGTTACCTAGACAAACTGAAGATTCAATAGGACGAATAGTGTTAGCACACCCAAGTGAAGGTGAAAGATATTTTTTAAGAATACTATTATAAAAAAAAAAGATGTCCAAAGTCATACGATTACCTTAAACTTTGTAAAGGACAAAGAGTTGACACCTTTCGACAATCTGCATTACTACATGGATACCTACTTGATGATAACAACCAACAATTATGTTTGGAAGAGGCATCAAACTTCCACATGCCATATGAATTACGAAGACTTTTTGCTACTTTACTTGTGTATACAAATCCTAACAATCCAAGAAAATTATGGGAATTATTCGAAGATGCCATGCTTGAAGACTTTGTACACTATGGTATTCTTTCGCTAACTGAAGCAAAGCAATGTGCATTTCAGCAAATTAATACATTGCTACAGTCTAATGGGAGACAACTTCATGACTTTGATATATTGTCAAATGATTTATCATATGCTGATTTAGAAGATGACACAAGAGAAGTAGCTACCGAAAAAAGTATCATTGTATCAAAAAAAGATCAAAGAGCAATACAAAATCTTAACAATAAACAAAAACTTGCATTTGATACAATAATTAGAAAAGTCGAAAGTAACAATGGTGGGACATTTTTTATTGATGGTCCAGGGAAAACTTTCCTATATAGAGCATGATTAGCTTACATCCGATTAAAGGGACAAATAGCTTTAGCAACGGCAACATCAGGTATAGCTGCCTCATTACTACCAGGAGGAAGGACAACACATTCGAGATTTAAGATTCCATTAGATTTGACCGATAGGTCAAATTGTCGGATTAGTAAACAAAGTTCATTGGGTATATTGATTAAGACTTGTACGATAATTATTTGGGATGAAGCTCCAATGGCAAAAAGATAAGCAGTAGAAGCCCTAGATGACCTTTTACAAGATCTTATGGAATCAACTCAAATATTCGAAGGGAAAGTAGTTGTACTTGGTGGTGATTTTAGGCAAACATTGCCAGTTGTTCGAAATGGAAGCAAACATGATACAATTGTTGCTTGTATAACTAACTCACATATATGGCCATCACTTTGTGTACTACAACTAGATGAAAACATGAGGGCATTATTAGATCCAGTTTTTACTGAATTCCTTCTAAGATTAGGTGAAGGTAGAGAAAATTTACAAGATGATGATGTTGTTACTCTTCCATCACAAATTGTCATAGTAGATAATGATGAATCACAAGGGTTAAATGTTCTAATTAAATATGTTTACCCACATATATTTGAAAATTCTAAAGATAACCCTGCATCCTTCACCTTCAATCGAGCTATTTTGACAACTAAAAATACTTTTTTTGATGAGCTAAATGATATCTTAATAAACAAATTCCAAGGAGAAGAGAAAGAGTATATTAGTTTTGATGAAACACTTGATCCAAATGACCAAGCTCATTATGAGGATCTTCTACATTCTTTAACTCCACATGGTATGCCCCCACATAAACTGATTTTAAAGGTAGATGCACCTATTATATTATTAAGAAACATACATCCAGAAGAAGGATTATGTAATGGTACAAGACTTTTTTGCAAGGAATTTGAAAGAAATGTTATTCGAGCACAAATAGCATTCAGTGATTTTGCTGGAAAAGAGGTATTTATACATAGAATACCTTTACAACCACCTACAGGTGAAGAATGCACAATGCCATTCAAAAGAACACAATTTCCAATCAAGGTCTGTTTTGCAATGACAATTAATAAAGCACAAGGCCAAACACTAGACAGAGTGGGCATATACCTTAAGGAACCTATTTTTTCACATGGACAATTGTATGTTGCCCTCTCTCGTGCTAGAAGTATTGAAAATGTTAAAGTTTTTATCAAAGAATCTCACAAAAATCAAGAAATACATAACACAAAAAATATCGTATATCAAGAAGTATTAAAATGTTCAAAACACAACTAGAGGTATGTATTACTATAAGTCTTAATATCTGGTATGATGAAAACAAATACTAAATTCACACACATTGTTGCACATTGATTATATAAGATAGCAGGACATTTCATTTTTCAAATTTTTATCCACTTTATTTAATTGAAGTCCATTTGTGAAATATCCCCTTATATGATAATTTTTCATGCAGTAATTCAATTGAATATCAGGTATGCATTCCAGCGGTGGTAATTCCTTTCTTTGCCAACAAATTACAACACTCAATGTAAGTGATTTGCAATATCATGGTTGCTTGACAGATTACATGCTTTTTTATATAAATTTTTACCATGAATATTTCCAACAGGAAAACAACTACAAAACCAAAATAAAGATTTCGGATTACACAGGAATTCACTATTCAATGATCTGGTAAGTTCACTTTGATTTTTGCATTACATTCCAATTTTAATTCTTTTTCATTTATTATTACTTGATTTAAATGATATGTCAATGAACTATCCAAATAAATCATTATTTTCGATTATAACAATTAATTTTTATTATATACTATAATAAGCAATATAGTGATCCGTCTCTCTCATTAATTATATCGGTATGACTCCATTACCTACAAAAATATATATTATCTTGATTATAGTGTTTATTTTCATATTTGCACTCTATTTTAAAATGAATGATATCCACATTTATTAATTTTGCCAAAGAACTTCTTAATCCTGATGCAAGATACCTTCATGCAGAAACAACTTTACTGCATCATATGACAGTACAAAAGGAAAGGGAAAAGTTCAATTAATCATGCCAAGAAGACAACATGCAACATCTACAATTGTTTTATTACATAAATTTTGCAACCATTAATTGTATTGTAACAGTTTTAGTTAAGACTTTATTTCAATTTTATTTATATGTATATGGTGAATCAGATCATTTTCCATCGATTGGTCATTTGAGGCCTAAATAGTTAATTTTCAAATTAACTCAACTGTAAAGGAAATTACTAATGATCATAATTACCGGAATTTTGATTATCTTCATGATGCCATTTTTGAGTTAAATATAAAATACATCAAATACAATTTAGTGTTTAAATGATAAAGCGGCACCCTTCTAAACTTATTTTACTGTTTAATATATTTAAAATTTTATCATATAACAAAACAAATATAATTTGAAGGTTTTAGATCAGGCTAATTATCCGCAAAATACATTTTGATATTAATCATAAAAGATCAATATAAATGGCCTAGCCCAAAGGAATGCCATATACCCTAAATATTTAATAACCGGCCCTAAAGAACTTCGCCGTTAACCACACCCATTCTCTGTCCATTACATATCGCTATATTCAGCTATATACAAGCCGCCGTAATCACCGTCAACTCTTAGTACAGATCAACAACTTTCAACCGCTACCAACAATTTTAACTGCTAATCGGTTATTATAAACTTCTTCTAACCGGAAATTGCCTAATGTCAGAATCGCGGGTATAGCACATACAAACATCGTACATGGGAGTCTCATTCCCTTCTATTCCTCTTCCTATCTGTAAGCCCTACGGAAAATTACGTCACCGGTGTGTACAAAGTAATCGGGTAAGGATTGTCATGTATCAATTGTATTTCATCATTCCATGACAGATTCATATTACGCATCAATCTGCTCTTCATCTTCTTTCTTCGTGTTTACGAACTCCAACATTTAGATGCATTATTTTAATATGAAACAATGTTCATCAAATATAACCAGTCAATTTAGGGCTTCAATGTGATTTCTTGAAAGAGACTATCACATAATTTGCACTGGCAATACATTAATTTCCCTTCATTTTCCCACAAATAGTGTTAAAAATATCCGAAATATGGTTCTTTCATGACAATCCTATCTGATATCAAAGCCTTCCAGTGTGAACGACCACTTACCAATTTTAACTTCTTAATAGTACCTGAGGAAATGGTTTAATTTCCTATTAAACTAAGAACAATTCCAAGCCTGCACAACAACAAATGATTTTGGGTTTCCACTAAATTACAAATCTTACAATTTGCATGTTATTGAATAAACTTCAAATTAAGGGTTTTTTTTGGAAAAGACATAATTCTAATGTTTGCGATTTTCATTGATAAGATTAAAAAATTATTAAGATATCTTATTTTTAACTTGCATATACTGTGAAACCCAATTGGAGTTCAAAAATCCTCTTCGCACTTCTCTTCACTAACAGGTATGTTCAATGTCCTTTCCATTTTTGCATCCTCGCATACACAAAATTTACTTTTCGGAAGACACTGTTAAGTTTCGCTATAAATATTCAATGCATTCCATCTATTGGCAAACATTTTACAACACCAATTCAGCAAAATTTCACATACGTTTTGGCTGAAATACAAATGTATTATAATTTAATATAACATACAATTATTTGAATATAAGTAACTCATACAGAATTTTTCAACGATATATGCAAATTTAGAGTATAATGAACAAAACAATAGACACTTCCACATACAATTCTAAATCGACGTTATCTAGAAACCATATATAAATATGATCGATTGGTTAACATAGCCCAACATCTATTCGGTAACAGACACTTCTGTTTTAGATGAAAAAATGCTACTATATTGTTTATATACATTTATTTTCGATAATGTCAATGAATGTTTATTGTTTTTTTACTAATGTTACCTTCATAGCATTTTACTACATGTTATAAACATCGAATAATTATATAAACAATGTAAATAAAATGAACAACATTAATAAATATACATCTTAGATCTAAAGCTATGTAAAGATTTTGTACACCTATCATAAACATTGATATACCAAAAGTAATTAATGCATTCCAGAACCAATTCATTACTGGTTATTAAGAAACAAGCAGACATAAAGTGACTATTTTCACAGCACAGTACGCAGGAAACAACCAATGTCGAGAGACCAATACAACATTCATGACATAATTCCAAATATGAAGAAAAATTGGACTGTCTTGATTCAAGTTTTGGAATGTGGACACATACAACTAAGTAAAGAAAAGAAAAAATTTAGAAGGCTCATGTTTGTTGACACACAGGTATACAATACATCCTTGCGTATCTCACAACATTTGAATTAATCTAATCACATTGCAAAACAGGGAACAAGGGTGCAAGCATTAATCTGGAGCAATGACCTTGACTTTTATGAAAATACTTTCGAACCCTACAAGCGCTATCAAATATCAAATGCTAATTTTATATACACCGAACCACGTTTTCAACTTGATTCATATGAATATTCATGGACACTAAGAAAACTGACACTCATTGAACCTTTTCAAGATGAAACCTCAACAAAACTCTCATGCAATTTCACCTTTACTCCCTTTAGTGACCTGCACAAATATGCATATGAGGAAAGAGATATAAGTACGCAAAAATTACTTGTTCTATACTAATCACTCATTTTTATTATGTCCTTTACTAACTATGATGTTCAAATTGCAGATGTGAGGGGTATTGTAATAAAATGTTCCTAGTCAAAAGATGAAACAAGGCCAAGAGCCATCTTTAAAAAGAGATGTAATCATTGTTAACGAAGAGTATGTGGACAATTGCCCAATAACATAGAGTATGAGATTTTTTTTATTTAAATTAAAAAATTATTAATCATATTATTCCTACCTTTTAATTTTCAGGAAAAAACTTTTAACATTAACATTATTGAATTACATCAATGAAAATGAAGGCAATACCTTAGACCAAATAGTGGAATCCGGGCTAATGATATTCGCACTGAGAGTAAAGGTGACAACTTTCTACGGTAAGATAATGTTGCTTAGAACACAATATATATATATATATATATATATATATATATATATATATATATATATATATATATATATATATATAAATTTTTAAATCATTTTTAATCTTATGTCTTATAATCACACAGGACAATCACTCTCAATAAGTAGTAGCCCTGCAATTCTTATAAATCCATCAGTGACAGATGATTTACAGCTAAAAAATTGGTATGATCCACAAACCCATTAACCGAAATTCAATTTAATTAATTCTATTTGTATTTGTCAGGTATACAAATAGCAGAACAGGAATTAAAGAACTACTTCAAAAACAAACATATAAGGATACCAATATTCTGTTGCCCCCTCCCGAAGAGAGAGACATACTTCCGATAGGCAAAGCAATTACAAGAATGAAAAATGTTAGTAATAACAATATCTTTCATGACCTTTTACACAATATTCTATACGATCATTATCTATATAAAATTTTCACTTAAAACAGGGTAAACCAACATGGATAAAAGGAACTCTTATGTTGCCTCGTCATGATAGAAGTTTCACACAAACAGCATGTGCCAACTGTTTAAAACCAGTTGTGGCTGATGTAAAGTGGATCATCACATGCTTTGCCTGCAAAAAACAATCTAAAGTGCAACTCAAGTAAGAGTATTCCATCATTCAATTAATTAAAACATATTTTTAATACTAAATGATAATTCAATGTGAAGGTCTAGGGCAATAGTTGAAATCGATGATGGTACCAGCTCAATTGCAGCAATGATTTCAACGCCAGAAATTGAAAAGTTCATGAAGGTCGACTACAATGAAATCAAAGATGCAGGAGAAAATGTAAGCCTTATATTTTAATACAACAATTCTAATTTAACAATTGATTAATTATGTTATCATTTTACAAACTAGGTACAAACTGTACAAAATATAATTGCAAAATCAATTGGATCATTACCACTTCTGCCATATGTACGATCATATCAGACATCAAATCAAGAAAACCATACTACAAGATTCGTCGTTGTGAAGGCACATAGGCTCCCAGAACATCAAAACGAAAACAAACAAGAACTCCAACTATCAAATAAAGATGAAACTTTATCAACAACAAAACAGTGTTCTCCAAAACAAACACAAAAGCGAAACCATACAGACAGTGGGAAAGCAAAACTAACAGAAACATCGACAGCTGGCACATCAAGACCAACAAAAAAAACGAAATAGATATTGACATCTATCAAATTTAAATAAAAATTCTATACTATTATTATATTTGATACCGCTACTTCCATTAGATATTATATTCATCAATTTCGTATGATGTTATGCAAATGTAATTGACTCCAAAATGATATATTATTATATTTTAAGTGTGTATATATATATATTATTATATCAACTTTTATTAATTATTGTTGCTTCTAAACATGGTGCATATTGTAACATTCCATTACATTAATAAATGTATAATAGTTTACATCACTTTAGATCACCCCATGCATCTCTTATATAATAACCGATACATCTCGTATATAATAACCATTTCATTAGAGACTCTTGAAACGTTACATTTCTAATCAATAATTTTTATTATCTAATCAATGATTTTTTTACTAATGCTTCTAAATGTTTTCTAATGGTTTTTCAATGATACACATAATGCCTCAAACTTTCTAGTATATATATATATATATATATATATATATATATATATATATATATATATATATATATATATATATATATATATATATATATATATATATATATATACCTCCCAATCTCTCTATCTCTTATCTATTTCTTCACATACAACAACACAAAAATTATTTAATAGTTCTACTTCAACTTCATTTCTATCATATCACTTTTTTTTATGTTTGCAAGTGTTTTCTTCACACACAAAACACATACACCCATTAAATATGTTCGGAGTTGTTTATATCTACGCAAGTATACTCTATCATGAGATGACACATGTACGACAATGGAATGAAAAAAAAAAGAGGTTGTTCGGGGAGAACAATGGTGTCAACTTTTTATCCCAAGTTGAATAATTAGTGTGTTAAAATGAAAATACACCTAGAAAGTAACAGTGAACAAAATGATATATATATATATATATATATATATATATATATATATATATATATATATATATATATATATATATATATATATATATATATATATATATATATATATATATATATATATATATATATAGGATCGTTTTATAGCCAAAACAAACTCATAGAACCATCAAACCATATTTATAATTGTATAATTTATCTGTGAATGGTTTAGATTAAAAAGTTGCACACTAAAATTATGCATTCTTGTCCGTTGAATCAAATACACAATAGGGTATAATAGGAACTATACATTATTAGGTTTGTAAGCTTTCCTTTATATCAACCACTAATTAAAATACTATTCTCATTCTCTCATAAACCTAAAAATGGAAAACGACCATCTTGTTCCTCTCTTTGCTTACATCCTCATGAAAATAGCCAAACATTATTCCTTCACAACCACCTATTCTCTCTCTCTCTCTCTCTCTATATATATATATATATATATATATATATATATATATATATATATATATATATATATATATATATATATTATTTGTAACATCTTAACCAAATAGTACTCTCAGTCTATTATGAATCTTGATTTCCAAATATATCCATATTTCCATATGCACTACTAGAAAAAAGGCCTTTTACGACGCGCAAAATACGATGCTCATTGATCTATGTTACGCAAAGAAGAGTGACATTAGAAAAATGTCATCTCTTCAAAAAATTTAAGGATAGAAGACACGCATTATTGCGCGCCCTTAAATCAGTGTCTAAAAAAAACACGGAGGGCACCTATAATAAAATGCGCGTCGTCTAAGGATGTCGCTTTATAATTTTTAATGGAACGCGCGTTCCATCCTTTAACAGTAGGGGGAAATGAAATTCTGAAAAAATTAAAAATCCCGCCTTCCTTTTTTTTCTCCTTTCCCTCTTGCCCAAATTATGGACGCTCCTTCCTTCCCCCTCCCGACATTGACTGCTGCCTACTTCTTCCCTCACTTCTACCTACTGGAACCACCATATCTCCCACTCGATGTTGAAATTGTTAGAAAAAGCCCTAATTATACTCTCAAGTCTAAATACAGAAAAAATAGAAGATGGTGAAGAAGTAGCAGTAGAGGAAGTGGAGGATGAACAGTCGAAAATGGAAGGAATGGCATCAATAGCGTTGTTACTAGATGGGTCAATCTCGGGTCATTTTGTTCAGCTTCCCGAGTCCGTTTATTACCAGATGGGTCAATCTCGTCTTTTCGTCTCGACTTCATATCTCTCTGTAAAGCAACCGACGACTTCATATCAGAAGTGGAGGTGGCAGCCTAAAGACTGTAATTTGCCAAAGTAAGCATACTCTGTTCTTCCACTTTTTAAAATCGAATTAATTGTTGAATTCTTGATGATTTTAATTGTGTGTTTTGGGGGAAATGAAATGAAGGTTTATAGGGAAATTGTTGGTGGAGAAATCGAAGAACAAGAGGCTTATGTTCGTTGGAGATTCGTTGAATAGAAATCAATGGTGTGCATGGTTCAATCCATAGTCACAGGATTCGCCAAAGTAGTCACGATCCACGTTCCAAACGGCTCGATCCCAAACGGGGTACGATTGCGTACCGATCGCCGACAGAAACGCCCTCCGGTACGTCATGCTTGCGATCCCACCAATTCTTTAAATCGATACCTGAAACGTGAAATTGGCAAATTGGATTGCACAGAAACGCGATTGGGATCGGGAATTTTGGTTTTGGAACGCCGATTTGTGAAATTGGCGGGAAATTGTTTTTATCCGGAGAAAAGTCACCGACGCTTGATTTCTTCCTTAAGCCCTCGATTCCATGTTAGGTGTTTGGACTTCCAGATCTGATTCTTCTTTATCACTTTTAATAATATATAATAGCTATAACACTTATCCAATATCATCACTTCACCATGATTTCACTTTTGTTCTACACCTTTCAGGAAGAGTTGTTGATGGAAGAGAGATGATGGTTTAATTTGCCAAATATGGGCCTAATGCTGAAAAAATGTGAGTCACATTCACATATAATCTAATATATTTCTAAATTCCAAGAATCAGATATGAAAAAGTATATGGTTGTTTGACTAATGTGGTTGTTTTTATTCTTGTTTTAGTCACAAGGGAAGGATACTTGAACCAGTAGAAAAGCTGAAGGGTGGATTAAGGAGCCGAAGTCCTAGACCAAGGTATGATGAGAATGTAGTTTTGACCATTCTACCCTTGTATTGGAGTTGATGTTTACCCAATGTAGTTCCAGGTATAGAGATGAATACAAGGGCTACAGGAGGATAAGTCGCAGCAGTAGCAGGGACAGGTATTATGGAAGGGACAAAGATCGTTACAGAAGTAGGACCCTCATGCAGTAGGAGTAGGAGCCCTGATTATCATAGAAGAAATAGGAGGGGTAGATATGATGATGATTATGATGATGAGAGAAGCCCAAGTAGGACTCCTATAAGGTAAAAAGACGTAAATGCCCTTATCATTAAAAATAGCATCCGTAAAAAGTTTTGTTTGTCTGTTTAAAGTTGATGTTTCATTAGAAACCTGATGGACTATTCACTATTCTATATGTGTTTGTTACTTACATAGAAGTACTAGTGTTGAAAAGACTAGAATGCCCTTATCATGTGATGTGTCAATAAACTGATGGATTACACAGAAGCAGGTCTCCTCCACGTAGGAGTAGGTCACCTTCTAGAAGCAGAAGCCCTGAAGGAGGAGGAAATGAGAAAGCATCAACATCATCACCCTATTCCCATGGTAGAGCTGATTCCAGAAGCCCTTTGCAGCGTTCTGATTCCAATGTAAGTTTTTTTTACCTGTGGAATCATTGATTCCGAGTGTTGATATTTTTTTATTGATTACTTTTTATCTTATCTTTTATATATTATTAATTATTATTAACCCTTGGTTGTGGTATAATATGTAGGGTTTGCCTGGACCAGTGGGGTTGGTGAGTACTAGTCATTTGGAACAAGAAGCTGCAGTACTTGCTTTGTCAACTTTGATGACCATAGCTCCTGCAGAAGTTTATGCAGAATTTGAAAAGGTAATTTTTATTTATTTATGAACTTTCAAAGAAACTTTTATTGTTTTACATCACTTGAATTTTAGTGCATTAGGTCGTATAATATGTTGAAATGTTGAACGTTTTATGATGAGATTGTTTCAAATAAAGGAAGTAGAATAAAGGATAAATTAATTCATAATGTCTATGAAACCCCGTATACCCTTCTCTTGAACGGTGAAATAAATTATAGAGGCGAGATAGAACAAAGGAGTATGGGGTGGCTGAATTATTCCATTTGGATCCTCATTACACAATAAGTTTATGTTTGAACCATATAAAAGTGTGTCTAGCTTTGTATGATCCAGTTGCAGCAAAAGATAAATTATTCAATTTTTTCAGCATCTGTTGTGTATGGTGACAGTTTTGTTTAGGTTGCACCCACTAAGAATGTATCAGCTTTTTTAGCATCTGTTGGAAAGTGAATGTTCAAAATGGAAAAACGATATAAGTGCACATTTGTTACTATGCTAATATGAATTGAGGATTAAGCTATTAGTTTCTAAATCACAAACAGTGTTTGCTGCCTTTCTTAATCTGTTTGAATACGAAATCAAGCCTGTGTTTATATTTGATTTGATTGTTTATGTGAGTTTTTGGTTGATTTTGGTTTAATGTTCTGATTAAAGTAGGGTTTGTTAGAAAATAATGTTGCAGAAATTATCCTTATGGGTCTTGACACATCAAGTTTGTTAATTATTTAGAAAAATATTATAAATTATCTTTGATTTCATGAGAATATAAATGCTTGTTTGTCATATTCAATTCACATTCGGTAAAATGTTGTGTCCACATGATACTAAGAAATACAATTCTGTAATTGACTTGGGCATAAACATGTTATTTTGATCAAGAGAAAAAGAAAAATAGCCTAGATAATTAGCAACTTATAAGTAGGTTGGTTGGTGTTATGTGAAAGTGAAAGGGGTAAGTGAAATTTGAGAGTGATTTGTGTTTTTTTAGTCACATTGCATCGGACTCAATTCCAGCTTGGAAATGGTGGTTTGTTTGGTGCTAGTTATATCCAGGTAAAAGATTTCCCATCTCTTATATTAATGTTTGGTTTTAATGTTTGGCTTATTACATTACTTTTGTCTCCTTTGTTGTATTGATGAGGCTTGAGCATGCTGGGCTGTTAATGTTCCTATTTGTTTTCATTTATGCAGGTAACAATCTTGTTGAAAGGCCTTATGAATCAGATATTAATGGTAACAAGTTTAACACTCGAGTCCATACGATTAGATGTTAATGGTAACAAGTTTAACACATGTGTCTTTGTTATACATACAAATTGAATGCAATGGATTGTATTTTTTGTATATGGTATTTTATTTCTATTATGAGAGATTAAATGCAAATTTAATTTATAAATTAATAAATACATAAATATATATTTTTTTAAAAAAAAAATTAAAATTACGATATGCAAAAATGTGTGTCGTCTTCATTAATGACATGGCCTTTCTTGACTGGTGCTTCCTTGATACGCATTGCGTGTCATAAACACGCGCGTCGTAAGGTTACGACACGCAAATGCGTGTCGTCTTCCTTTATGACAGGGCCTTTCTTGATACGCATTGCGTGTCATAACCGCGCGTCGTAAATGCGCGTCGTCTATAGACGACGCGCAAAAGCGCGTCGTCTATAGACGACGCGCAAAAGCGCGTCATCTCTCTTTATGACAGGGCCTTCCTTGACGCGCATTTGCGCGTCGTCTGAGCGTTTTACGACGCACAATGAGCGTCGTAAAAGGCCTTTTTTCTAGTAGTGATGGTAATATGTATATCTCTATTTACTTGTTCTTTCGACGAAGACCAACACTCTACTTCAACAAACTAGAAGTAGAGGAGGAAGGATTCGTAAAGCATGTCCCCTAGATTTTTCCACCCCTTTGTGAACAAAAGGCCATCGTAACAACGTTTGTAGGCAAAAACAAGTTAGTAATTGAGTAACAACAAAGTACAAATAGAGAAGGATACTTTCATTTCAGTAAAATATTAAAACGAAGGATAAGATATGAGACATGTTTTTTCAACAACAAGACCACCTATTTATATATACTAAAGTACAACCTATTTATTGGATAAAAAAAGGTAAGGTGGATAGGGAGCCAAGTTTTCCACGCTTGATCTGACATATACATCCAAACACTCAAGGTCTAGAAAAGCTGATTATTGTACTTCACTCTTCACAACACTTCAAGACAAAACACCTAAACTCTTTACACAAGCTCCTTTCTCTCCGTTCTTCACATAACCAACTTCAGTCAATGAAATTCATCTCATTTCACCAACAGAGGATTCTTCGCATCATCAAAACAATGAGATCTTTGCATAACCAAGCCAAAGTAAAAACTTCGCACACTCCCCAAAGACCATTAGCTGTTGAGGGTCACTTCAAGCTTCAACATATAATATCTTTTATTCTTAAAACATAGAGATATTGAGTTCTTTTTCATACAATTTGTTTATATATTAGTCTTACTCTAATGCTATCTGTAACTAGTGGTTATAATGAGTAAGTCTATCCATGATTTGATAAATAGACAAAAACTATCTGGTCAAAGTTTATTTATTCCTTTTTGCCTTATTGGGAAAAGCGATATTTATGGGACCCTTGGTGATTTGATGATGACACTCATGTGCTAGGACTGACCCATACAATATTTATATGTTTAATTAGTAGTCTGATTTGATCATCATAAATTGAAAAATCGAGAAACAACTATTGAACTGTTAAGTTGGTTCATAATCCATAAGTCAGTTCACAATGATATCTTGTAGAAACAAAGGTGTAATTGATCACTTATCTAAGTGAAGATTCTTGATTCAATCACAGTTCAACAGATGTTGGGGAAGGCATGCTTTGGTTGTTATTCAAAGATTATTCAAACAATAGTAGTTAATGACTTGTCCAAGTGGAAGATTATTGCAAATTGGTATTCAATGTCCTAATTAACTGGTATAACTTTGGGAATTGTAACAAAGTCCTTTAGGGTTGCCTCAAGGGCTAAAATAACTAGAAAATGATTTAAGAGAGTGAGATAAATAGTTTATTAATTTATCATAGCTTGGTGAATTCAATTTTTGCAAGTCTCTTCTCCTCTCTTTGTATTTTCTTATGTTTAGTATTTTGGTGTGATTCTATACAACATTCTACTTTTGGTGGTAGATCTTCCAAGTGCATCAAGTAATTTCGAGATCTATAAGGATCAATAAGCAAATTCAATTTTGCTTAATGGTTGCTGTCTCTCTTTATAGTAGTATTTAGCAGTTTTGTAAGTAAGTTGATATAAATAGTAAAACCTAGATCATATATTGCACGTACGCTTAGGGTTATTTTAATTGTATCTGTCGCCAAATATTAGTGTATAGATGATAGAAAACCTAGCAATAACAATGTATGTTCATTTGTTTTTGTGTTATAGCAACTTACTCTAGTTTCTTCCGATTGCAACTTTGAACTTTAAAATGTTCAAACATCACGACGTTGTATTTTGAAAATCTACCAATTTACAGTATTATACTTACAGTTTCATATTAGGGCAGTATGTTTAGAAAAGTATATTTAGTAGTGAATTTGTTCATATGTGTATGATATTGACATACGTGGAAGAACTTTTAAATTTGAATATTTGATAGGAAATCACAAAAAATAGCCAAAGTGGTGGAAGGCTTTTAATAAAATAACCCCCTTTTTTTAATTTTTGCACAAGTAACCACCAATTTTGTGTTTGACGAATATGAAATACTATTAACCATCCAAAAAGGTAAAATAAATGAACAATTCTGAAAAAAAAAATCATTTAGTATGGAATTTATTATTTTTTTTAATTGTTTTTTTTTTTTTTGTGGGGATCTACAAAAATCATTTTCACATAAAATGGCTTCAATATTTTAAAGTGTAGTGTTAGGTTGAGAGAGATTTAAAAGTAAAATTATCTAAAAATTAAAAATGATTGGAATAACGGAGAATACAAATTAAAGATGAGCCTCTGGCCACAATTCTTATGTGTATCACAAACATTTTTTTTACATATTCCTACCAGTTATCAATATGTGTACAATTGAAAAGTATATAAGGACTCTTATTAAATAATACTACACAATACATATTTTGAATAATGATTCTTGTTCAGTCTTATTACGCTTTTAATAGATCAATTAATGTCTCCTATTAAATCATATTACATATACTACTATACAAATAATGACTTAGATTAACTCATGTTTTATATTCGAAAAATCAAGCAATAACTCTTATTAAGTCATGTTACATATTCAACTATTTAACTAATGACTCTTATTAACCATTGTTAAACTTCTAATAATTTAACTGATGTCTCCTCTAAATTTATATTACATATACTACTATTCAAACAATGACTCCTATTAAGTCATGTTTCATATTCAACAAATTAAGAAATGGGTCTTATTAAGTTATATTAGTGTTGAAACAATAAACTTAAGATCGATAGATCCTTTAACAGAAAAGTGAATCAAAATAGGAAGAGCAATTGATCAAAAAGGTGTCGAATGATTATATTATAAAAGTCTTAGAAGAGTTCTGTGTGAACTTCTCTGTAAGGACGATGTCGGGCAATCCATTTGATTAACAATAATACAAACTATTCATGCAATATTTAAAACCTAACCCTAGCATCATAAATACAGACGAACAAGCCCAATCCATTTAATTAAGGCTAAATACATATATAGAATATTCGACAAAACACAATAAAATAACCCAACAATATCCCTCTTTGTGTCAATAAGGAATAGAGATTCTTCATTGTTGTTGATGTTTCTCAACTTTAAAAAAAATTGGCATCATTCCAAGGAAAGTATTCCAAACAGCAATGTACCACTTTAGCATATTCGAAAAGCATTTCTTATCTGAGGCTTCGTTCGCTTTGCATGCTTTGGTTATTTCTAGGATGTAGTTGAGGAACTTAGTAGAGTACAAGCGTTTGTCTAACAGAAAGAATGAACACTTGCGAACTCTTTCCTAGCTTCATCTTGTCAAGATCTTTTGGTTCAGTTTCGGACTTTAGAAGGCTTCTTCCTTTAAATATTTGCTATCTCTACATCCATTTTTCCAAACTCCTATATGTAGTAGACTAACATCCTCTTCAGATGAGCGATAATCTGTTTATATTTTTCATCCTTGGATAAAAGAGAGAACAAGGAAATCCAATCATACGGATTTAAGCAATGTAAGTCTACAAGAGAAAACTCAAAAACCAAATTTCCTGCTCCTCGTACCACTTTGAAACAAACATTGATGAAGCTTTTAGTTTCAACTGGGCCAAGAAACTTTATGACAACAATCTTCTTTGAACTCTAGGTTTCATATTGAGGCTTTCGTACTTGAGATAAAAGGTGAAAAGAATGTGATTGACATCATAATACGGAATCGGCGCTTTCTCAACCTTTTCAAAACACCTGAACAAGAATGCCCTCGGAGTGATTGGTAAATCAATTTGAGACTCTAAAGTGTTCTCAAGCTCAAAGGAGATAGTCGATTCTAGCCAATGAGTACCTAGGTTTTCAATAGCTTCATTTAAGATTCTTTCCATCGACCAAGCAGGAAAGAGAGTCTTCTGGGTGACCAATGTGACTTGCTCATCACGAGCTTCCTTTTCTTGAGCTTCAATTTCTTTTGTAACCTACAGATTCTCATCAAGCTCTTATTCACGTTTCTTCCTTTTGAGTTGTGCACCTTCAGACATATCTTCCTCTTCTTCGTCAACAATGATTTTTTCTTTGCCTTTTGACAAATAAGATTCATTACCCTTCTGGTCACCTTTTGGTGTTTCTTCATGTTGATGGTCGACATATTTTCCTTTTGGATTTGGTTGCGGTGGATCCTCCTAAAGCTTTTCTTGAGTCTGCTTTCCCCTTGTTTCAGAAAAGCACTGCTTCCCGAAATACCTGTAACCGATGAAGTAATTTGAATATAGGTTTGAGCATGTCTAAAAGATGTTGTCAGACTGAAATGGTAAGAATTGAATCACGAGTTTCCAGGAAGCTTTGTAGATACTCAGATACATCAGATTGCAGCTTCAAAAGACAACTTATTTCAGATTCAAGAGAATTTGGAAGCATAGTTATAGAATTTAACTTGACATAAAGAACTTTAACTTTCTCAGGTTTCTATTGGAGTTTGTCCATGATGGCGTTTTCAGTGGCAAGATCCTCCTGAAGCTTTTCAAATATGGAAACAGTTGAGCTCATCATCTCAGCATTATCCACTTTAAGTGCAGCTCGAACCTTGGATAAAGCTTCAAGCTCAATTTGAAGAGAGGCTCTGAGTCCTTCTATTGCTTTGTTCGCAACTTCTGTGCTCTTGTCTGAGGGACTTTGAAAATCCTCCATAAACCGAGTAACATCGGCAAGTAGTTTTTTGACTTTTTTGGTCGTTTCCCTAACTGTCTTCTTAGAGTTCTCAACTACTTTTGGAGATGTATCAAGGCTTTTATCATGCTCTTTGGTGAGTGTCTCAATTTGCACTTTCAGAGCCTTAAAGGAATACTCACCAGTGGACAAAGATTTAGAAGACTCGAGTTGAGTATCCAAATTTTCATCTAAGGTCTTGAACTGCCCTTTCATCATTGGTGCAGTCTCATCATCACTTTCCTGTTGAACGGTGAAGGGAATGAATTTGAAAGCTTGAAACTTATGTTGAGTATCACTAAAGATTGTATCAGGATCATCATTCTTAAATGTGAGATGGGAGAGAACGTGAAACCTAAAGTAGCACCAAAAACACCTACCCCCGTATCAGATACGTTGACAGTTACCTGAGGTGAACTGGTTGTAGTTGATGTGATCGATTCGGTGTAGAATGGAGTTGATTGGGAAATAGATAGTTGTGGTTGCGAAATGCCAACAGATATATTCGAACATGGAGAATGGTGATTGGTGTAGAAGTGGGTGAAGAAGTAGCAGTAGGAGAATTTGGAGGAGAAGGAACATGAAAAGAATTATCTATCATGAGAATTGAAGTGGAAATGGGAGATGATACCTTCATAGGCTTTGAGGCCATGGGTTGTGAAGTGGCTCATGTATTGTAACGCCCATGTTTCTGGGCTAAGCATTAGTAGATGATGTAATAGTCTAGTTCAGCCAATGTAAGTCATTTCGAAATAATAAAGATGAATTATTTGAGTATTATATGAATTTATGTGCTTTATACTTAATTATAAAAGTATAATAAATAAAGGATAAAAGTAAGCATCAAAATTAAAGTGTGAGATAAACCCGATATTTATACATAAAGTTGTAGTGGTCAAAAAAAAGGATTCCAACTATATAAAGAACGCCGAAATCCGAGTTATAACGAAGAAGTTATGACCTGTCGAAGTTTTACGGCAAAATCGACACGTCTCTGGGAAACGTAAATAGTGAATTTATGATAGAAGACTTTTTAGCCTTAGCAATTCAAAAAACCGAGAGCGTGCATAAAAAGAACGTCCAAATCTGACTTCGTATGAGGAAGTTAAGATTTTTCTAAGATTTACCTTAGCAGTGCACAATCCGAAACTCGAATTTTAGATCGAGCGGTTTTTGGCCAACACGGCCTAATTGAGAGTTTAAGATCTCATTAATAGGAACTCAACGATAAAGAAGTTACAAATTTTACGTGGTCTCTCTCTCTAAACCTCCCAACACCCCCCAAAGCGCTAGAAGAAAGCCCGAAGCGCTCGACGACTCTCAGAAGAAGAGCTTTTCGGCTCGGAAATGCTGCTCCAGTGAAGCCCAACTTTTAATAAAAACCCATTGTAAGTGAGATACGCCTACCATACCTTAAATATAACTTATATATAAATATAATATCGTTATTATGAACCAAAAATAAGATTTATCAGTGATTCAAAGTCGTTATACTGATTGATCTACTTACGGGAATGATGTCTAGGCTGTGATTTAGTGTGGTGTTTAAAGTGGGATTTCCAAACAGTATACTTCATATACCAAACGGACCCTACCTCCGATATGATCCTACCTGGTTGTTCCTTACTTGATAGATCATGAAGTAGACTATGAGTTAATGACGAATCTAGAATAATAATTAGTCGCAATAAATATTAGATTAAAATCTAGTGGTGATAATACTATCTTTCGTCGAAGGAAATCATATTGTAAAGAAGGGAAGCGCTGCTAGAATATCGATTTGTCACTTTATCAAATGAGTGCATAGTTATTTTCATCTTACACATAGATATGAAGTAGTTTATATAAATTACATGCTATGTGTGCATATTATCTGTATACTTGCTATCTATGCTAGATGAACGATTTTATACATGTTTTAAATGATTTAAACTGTATATGTATTTTAAATCTACAAAATGTGTTGGGTAAAACATGGGTAGATGTAATAGTTGTTGTGTGATAAAATAAAATAATGAGAGGCCTCGATGTTATTGATGATCTAGTCATCTAGCGGAGTATAGATGATGACCATGGATTATTCTAGATAGTCCAGTGGAATGCTAGCAAGCTCGCAAACTGTAGGTGTTTATTTGAACTGTATGCTCACCAGCAGTACTGCATCCCCAACATGGTTACCTTATTTGACATAAATTGCTGAGGAACCCCCGAAGCAGTGTTGTCACCCCGATGAAAGTCCTTACACTAGGTCATTTTGTTAGATGTTTTAGGGACGTAAAGTGAGGATAACGGGAATGAGTAATCGGGTTTGCTTGGTTTGATAAACTTAATAAATTTATTTATTATGGGAAGAAAACCCTATGTGCTCACCAGGCTCCCAAGCCTAACCCACTCAGTTTCTTGTGTTACAGGTAGTGGCATACGAGCATAGATATGATGTTGGGATGAGGGATTACGGATTATAGGCCTGTAAATATGAAATAATGTAGTAAGGCTTATATTGTAATTGAAACGACCCAAAAACACGACCCAAAAATTTTCGTTTTCCGATATAATCTAAACCGTAGTATAAGTATCATAACATAAAACATACGCGATGTATCCCCAAAACATAATAAAGTATTGTGCGGAACACTGTATCATACAACATCAATCCAAAACATCAAAAGACATCCCCAGGATAAAAGCTATGCTGTGGTGTGTGCGATGCTGTCACCCCGAGCTCTTCTCTTTGCTTGCGGAAGTACCTGAAACCAAAACTAAAACTGTAAGCACGAAGCTTAGTGAGCTCCCCCAAACTACCACATACCATACAATAACATATAAACACATATTGGGCCTTGCCCACTGCATCGGGCCGAAGCCCGGAAACTGCATCGGACCGAAGTCCGAACTGACTGGGACCTTGTCCCCTGCATCGGACCGAAGTCCGGAACTAACTGCATCGGACCGAAGTCCGGAACTACTGGGACCTTGTCCCCTGCATCGGACCGAAGTCCGGAACTAACTGCATCGGACCGAAGTCCGGAACTGACTGGGACCTTGTCCCCTGCATCGGACCGAAGTCCGGAACTGTCTGACTGAACATGGCATAGCATAACACATCAACTAGCATAACACATATACGACATGCTACATCGGGCCGTGGCCCGGAACACATAGTACTTAACACATAAAACATAGCACACAAATCCTGTTCGAACCACGAAGGCATCGAACATACCAACTACTGCATCGGACCTAAATCCGGAAACTACTGCTAACTGAACGGGCCGGCATTGTGGCCTTAGACCCGTTCCTACTGGAAGGAAACTCACCTCGTAAGCTGGCTGCTGAGTGTGTGGCTCGGAAGCTAACGGCGGCTGCTCCTGAATCTCCTCGGCTACAAGTCCATAAACACACTCAATCAAATACTAAACACTGCGCTTGGGGTAAAATGACTCTTTTACCCTCGGTCAAAGTCAATTATCTTTTGGGCTGACTCGCCGAGTTGGGCCACCCAACTCGCCGAGTCCCACTCTTACTTTTCACTCTTACTCACTGCTACTCGTCGAGTCTGGCATCGACTCGACGAGTACCCTCTTGATCCAAGAACTCAGACAATCTTCATCCGACTCGCCGAGTCGTATGAACAGACTCGACGAGTTGTTCTTGATCCAAGAAGATTGCCTTGGACTCGCCGAGTTGTATGAACAAACTCGTCGAGTCCCTCCATCACTGAGTCTACTCTCAACTCGCTGAGTCCACTTCCTGACTCACCTCGTCCACTCGACACTGATAAAACTGAAGGACTCGGGACTCGCGACCCGACTCGTCGAGTCGTTCTTCCGACTCGCCGAGTCGCCGCCATGCAACTGATTTTTACTTGATTTTGTTTGAATCCAATGCATACAATTGATAGATCTGAGTCCAATAAGCTGTTTTACCACGTAAAGTTTCCAACTTTACGTGCACAACCTCATGAATAAGGGAAATAAGGCTAAAAGATGCATAAAATGGGTAGATCTATGGTTATCATGCAATATAACTCCAAAAAGACAGTAGATCTGGGCTCTACAACACCCCAACATTCAGATCCATAGATATATCGACTTAATAAGACGTTCATGCAAGTGTAAGGCTTGAAACAAGCACCAACTAGCTCTTAGGAGAGCTCTAATGGAAGTTTAAAGCATATAATAAGATGGAACTCCGAAAATACCTCAATAAACTCTGATTTGGCCTTGGATCTTTGCACTACAACCCTTCTCCTTGCTTCTTTCTTCTTCTCCTTCTTCACACCTTCACAAAGAGGGCACCAAAACACATATAAGCTCTTCAATGGAGGTTTGGGGCTCTATCACTGCGTTCTCAGGGTGAGGGAGGCGAGAATGGGGGCTATAAGGTGGTATAAATAGTGGGCAACCCGGGGATTTAGGGTTTCACCCAGACAGATGGACTCGCCGAGTCGGGGATATGGACTCGTCGAGTCCCCGGCTCACGCGTGCCCTCAGACGCGACCCGACTCGGCGAGTCAGGCTAGAACTCGCCGAGTCCTCTAGAAAACTCACTATAATTACCAATAAATCAACATACCGGGAACGGGTCGTTACAATTCTCCCCCACTTGTCTCAGACTTCGTCCTCGAAGTCTGCTACGGCTGGATCTGCAAATAACTCCGGGTAGTGCGCTCTCATCTCCTCCTCAGCCTCCCACGTCCATTCAGACCCCTT